ACCAGTTCAGGATTGCTCTTTCTTGGTCATTTTTCCCCCCCCTCTTCCTCCTCCGCTGTCTCCTTTTTTAGCTGTAAATTTCCCAAAGGCCGAGGCTGCCATTACCTCCCATGGGAGACTATTTTGTCTCAAGATGTTCCTACTGATATGTCTTAGCTTTTTCCTACTACCCACACCCTTTTGTTTCACGCTAGAAGGCTTCTCCCTTCCTCGTCTTTATGTATCTGCATGCAACCAGGCTTCCAGCCTTGTCGCCGCTTATTTAGCGCCGTTAATCTCTGCTCTTCCAACAGGACCCATCCGTTTTCTTCCTGCCTAAGCTTTTGTCTCCAATTAAAACTCAATTAGTCCGAGTTCTCCGTAGCAATTACGTGCGCTTCAAGCCGATATCCGCGCCGATCCGCTGCTCAATTTGCTGCGTTAAACACCTTCTGGCAGTTACCCATCCCTTTAGAGATCCGCGTTAGCAAGCTGTAGGAATGGGAATTAAATTGTCAGATGAAGTAAGAAAGCCTGGAGTGTTTGAATCCGTAAGGTTAAACGTACACGTTTAGCTTAATATTTAAAAAGACGTAGTTGGAGATGTGGTGCCTCTTGATTCTGCTGCGACTCCCACGAATTAACAGTTGAGGTAAATTAAATCTGTGGGTTTAAGAGGCTTCGCAGCACAGCAGGGTCCAGGGTAAGGTGATCAATTCGTGAACCCGCTTCCTTCCCCCACTGAGCACTGAAAGCACAAAATAATTCCGATTGGAGTCTAAAAGCAACTAAATCTGGACGCGATCTCTCTTTCTAACTGATTTTACTTCTCACAAAGCCTTCGTCTGCCCTGCTCCCATCCTTCATTACAAGCTTAGTGCCCTAAAATCCTGCCTTGCTGGAGAAAAGAGCCTGTGAGAATACCTGGGACTGAGCCCAGCGCCTGGTATGGGCAAAATGTGGGAATTAACCGAAAATTTACATGGTCCTCTGCTATTTTTATTTTTATTTTTATTTTAAGATTACAGATACAGAAAGGACGAGCTGTTTAAAAGACTGAAAGTGACCACTTTTGCCCAGCTGGTACGTATAGATTGCCCTTAATAAAAGCAAACCATTCAGGCCAATGTTTTCAGAGTAATCAAACACTTTTGTTTAATTTCACGTTGATGTTTGTAGCGATGCTGGTTTCAAAATCTGTTCCCTGGGGTATTTTTCCCCCCCCCCATTCGTTTCAGAGGATCTTGAAGCCTCTTAGAAAAGAAAAGGGCTGTGTAAAGTGGTGTTTACATCTGATCCTATCGAGCGTCGCGTCACGTAGCCTGAAACCCTTCCTAATACTGGGTTGAACTCCAGAAGTTGGGAAGGTTGTGGCTTTCAAGGCTTTCTTACGTATTTATATATATATATATTA